CCACACCCACACCCACACCCCACGTCCACACCCACTCACCCACACCCACACCCACACCCACCCCACCCACACCCAAATATGAGATTTGTTTTACAGTTGAAAGTGGCGGGATGTTTTATGAAATAAAATAAATTTATATTGACTTTGTATGTTTGCTTGCACATGTACAGTCACATGTCCACAACTATTTGAGAAGGATATCTTATTTATGATCCTTATTCCAATAAACTAAAATATCTAGATGATGTTATCCAAGACTTCTGTAATAGTAAAACAGGAAGATGAGAGTGATTCCGCATCGATGTGCTGACGATCAACTTGGAAATGATTTTATAAAACGGTAGCTAAGAGAATATTTTCAAGAAAAGGTATAAGAAAGTTGACAGTGTTTGAGTGATACATAGAATTAACAGTGTAAAATAACGTGCATATCAAATGAAGAATGAGATAGTGTGAAAACCTTTTACAAAGTATGTTCGATCACTGTAAGGTTTTGGGGGCATAAATCTCACCCCTGACGCAACTAGACAGAATGAAATCTTGATTAGGTCACGATTTATGAGTCTTTGAGGGATGTTATTACCAAGAGAGGGATAAACCCTCAAACTCAAATAGATAGCACTTGTAAGACATCCTGCCAAAAACGACAACGATAAAAACATTAGTTTTGAGGAATGAACCAGATTAAAAGAAAATTAAAGAATCGAACTGCAGGTTTTTGACATTCTCTCAAAATATAAGAAGTTATAAAAATGAAAACTTGTGCTTGTGATGAAGTTTTTCACGTATTTTACTGAGTCTTCAGTAATAATATTTCAAACCCAAAAGATCATTCCGTTATTGCTGTTTTTGAGAAAGTTTATTTCTATAGATCTTATCAAGCAACGAGTCTTGGCGCTGAATACTCAAAAATATCACCTACTACTCAGCAGTAGTCACGAAGAGTCGTAAGTTTTTAGTATTTCGACTCGAATGCCGGTATTTATCGACTAAATTTGAATATTTCTTTTTTTTACCAAATTGATCAGTTAAGCGAGTTCTACAAAATCCTATAGACAAAAAAAGTTTCTAAAAAACTTATATTTTTCGCGGTTGACCATTAATGAAAATATTTATCAAAAATAAGAGTAGCCTTCATTTTGTCATTGGTAGATATTTTAAATATCAACAATTAAAGTGATGAAAATTTATGCTGAATATTTATGAATGCTAGTCGCGCTGCATTATCTAAAATACTTACTACAATACTTTGCATTGATTAATCTTTTTTTTCTATGAAGTATGGAAAGAATTCATAGTCGACATGTGAAGCATAGAGTGCATTGTTCACAGGTTTCTTCAGTATCTATAAAGAATATTTTCGACGAGAGAATCAGACATAACCTTAGTGTACCCGCAGCTTATGCAATCACACAATAAAAACCAATGTGTTTTTCTCTTTTTACAAAACAATCATCAAGGATATTATCCAACATTGTTTTCCTAAGAATATTTGTTCAGGAATACTTCTCAATGTAGAATTTCGAAAGATATGATAAGCGACAATTGTACTAGATATAGTTGGGGGTTAAATGAATCGGAGCGATATTCATTACTTTTTTTTTTGAAGAAATATTATTCGTAACTTATCAGGCTTTTCTCGGCGTTTGAAAGAGGGTCTGAGTAAAGGAAAGACTATGCCTGTACCAACACCCACACCCGTCTCAAAATGGATATATTTCGAAGAACTATAATAGAGTAGATTTTGTTGAGAGAAATTTACTCTATAAAATTCTTGAATCGATTTCTGAAATGAAATGAAAACATATTATATAAATTCGAATACAATATTCTATATAATATTTCTATCAAAAATCTTATTTTATACAGTAAATTTTCTATTCAATGTTCCATTAAGATTTATTAAATAGAGTGAGTGTGGGTGTAGGTCTGACACTCACACACCCACATCGTAGTTCATTGTAGTTTTAAATAGTTTGTCACGAATTTTCTTCTGACATACATATTGATTTGTATGGTTTTTCGTTGGTAATTCTACTATTTTTATTTGTCCTGAAGTACGATTTTCACGCATACCATGTTAAATACTAGTGGATGCAGAATTCAATTTCCTATTTGCTCGTGTTATTTTTGCCATATTTAATCAGTCAAATAAGAGGTTTTATATCCAAAACACTGAGATTTCAAAAGATGTTGCTCATCATGTTGAATCTCGATAATATATGACGTGTTTGATATGAGATATTTCGATGTATCAAAGTTCCATTTACTTTCTTCTTGGCAGAATTTCTTTGGCAAGACAAACATCATTAATGCCATCTAATCACTTGATGATTGTATTAGGGATTGGCAACGCTATTTGGATATTTATTATACATCGCCAATTAGAAATAGACGGTTTTTAAAGTTTTCTCAGAGTCAAGTTATGCGAGAAAAAAAAATCTTTGCAAGACTTTATTTATCAATTTTTCTTGCAGCAGGATGATGAACGTCTCTTCGGTAGTGAATAAATCGAAACGTTTCAAATGTAAAAATATATCTTTATGATGATCCTGTTAGATGTATTGTTTTGTTGTACTAGTAATAGATGCTACTTCCAAGTTTTTATTCATAAACATTAAGCTCTCAAATACTCCTAGAAAGTATCACTTTCAAGTTCAATACATGTTAACTCCTTTTCCAAATTGTAAAATTAAAATATAGAATTCTTTTTCTTTAACTTTGCCAATTTTGTGTCATTATGGTGAGCCTTCAGTCAGTTGAATTGATCTGTCTAGTTTTTAAAAAAATGTTCAACAGATATTCATCAAGCAAAAGAGATAGATGTGGATAATTGAAGTATGTAGATGTGGGTGTGAGTGTGAGTGTTTGCTGCGAAGCAGAATTATCTGCACCCACACCCACACCCTTCTGAAGATTGTGGATGTGGGTTAGGATCATCTCTATCCTCTCTTCTCAAGCTCACCGTCAGAAAGCATATGAATATGACGACGCATGTCAGCGATAAATTGAATAAATCTTGTTCACAAAGAGTGTGGACGTAGGTGTGAGGATACCAATGTTTACTTGATTAACTCCAAATCCTACATCCACACACCGCACCAACAATCACACACATCCAAATCCACGCCTCGCATCCCTATCCCACACGCAATATCCACACCCTTTTTGTGCGAATCAATCATTTCGAAGTGGCCGGCATATACACGAACATTTTGTACAAAGACTTTCGCGCCATCCGTTACTTATTAATATAGACGGTGCGTCATTTAAAATATAAACTATGCCTATTGAAACATAAGTGTGGAAGAGCAGTAATAAAATGCTTAGAATTTGCTCAGAAAGAACTAACTTGTATGAACAGGAGAAAAACTTCATCTAATTTACGACTTAGTGTATAAACATGACACATTAGTATAGTTCATACTTGCATTGACAGCTGTATTATTTTATAACTTTTATCTTTAAACGTCGAAAAACAAATGATGAATATCATTATCATGAAGAGAAAAGAAAACCCCCATGGAATGTTCACACATAACATTGTTTTGTATCAATCTCAACCATTTTTAATAAAGCTGCCGTGATCGCTTAACAAATTATGATGTACGATGCACTATACAACAGACATGCTCTAATTTCGCGGCAGGTAGTACGTCGAATTGGTATCATCCTGTGTTTGATTTCTAACGATTGCTTTACAGAGAATGCATTGAGCATTGCCATTCGATATTGCACGCCACGACTCCCAACATTGAGCGCACATTACTTTATGTCCGCAAGGTGCAAAACGTAATGTGCGGTCTCGATCATCACATACCATACATGGTTTAATTTCAGTTCTTTTCTGCATGACCGTAAGTTTGGAGACCAATTCGCTTGCACTGGGTCGTTTTGCAGGATTTTCATTAAGACATGCACGAATTTGAGTTTTATAATCTTCTGTATTTGTATCAGACTGTGAATTTTTGAGAAGATTTTTTTCTAGATTTGAGACTGTATCAACATTAAGTTGTTCATAAGACAGTTTGGGTAACATTTCATAAAGAAGAAGTCCGAAAGAATAAACATCTGCTGCAGTTCCATCATAAGTAATATATCTACTGTTCGATTGAAGATACGCGGCAATCATCTCTGGTGGTAATGGAGCTGTACCTAAAAGAGTTCGATTGGATAGTCCTAATTTGACTGTGCCAAAATCGATAATATGGCATTGTTCATTATCATCAAGCATAATGTTGCTAGATTTAAGATCTCGATGAACAATTTCAAGACGATGAAGTTCTGCAAGTGCTTGAGCGATCGTCAGTGCGAAACTGATAACTTTGGCAAAAGATATGTCATGAATGTGTTGTGTCAAATACTTTCGCAGCGACATAGAATATCTTGGCATTATGAGCCATAGTTCTTGTTTATTATCATCTATATTGTTTTCATATAAATGAAGAAGTGGAACAAGATAATTTGAACATAAACGTGCAGCTGTTCGATGATAATGCGCTTCTAGAGCAAACATCTGTTCGTTTTCGACCGATGGACAAAGTAACTTTTTCACAGCTAGATTATTTTCTGGGTCCCACTGAGCTGTATGTACACTGCAGAAGCCACCTCTTCCTAGTTCTTCGCCTATAGTAGGCAGAACACCACCGCGTCTATTGAGTTCTTCAGCTGCTAATAATTGACATTCAATTATAGCAAAAGGGCCAGAAAATTGAGAAATAAGATTATGAAGCTTCTGCTGATCTGAGAGATGCTTCGTAATATATTTATAATTCGATGTTACATTCTTGTTAAACGCTTTTCTTTGTTCATTTACCCATTGGATTAAATTACGTCCGAAAGCTGGTTTTTGTTGCTTAATTTCATCTGCAATTGTTGTCAAACAATAAATGGCAAAAGTGCGCCTATTAGTTTCATTCGACAAAGTAGCATAAGCATCCATAGCTTCAAGTAATTTATAAATATCATGGTCACCATCTATTATTTTTTTATGAATATATCGATTATATAGATCCTTTTGATAAGCACTCACGCGTGTTGGTAAACTGCGACAGAAATGCATCAATCTCATAGGTAATTGAATAATATTATCAAGGACTATATTAAATAAGGTATTGTGTTGCAAGACATCGACAGAGATTTCACTGAGAACTTGTCGTTGAGCAATAGTAAGCAATTCATTTTTGCGTAAGCGATGCTGTCGTTGAAAATGACTGGCAATGAGATTTTTTACTTGATCTCGTCTAGTAATTATTACCTTATTCGCCGCTACTTTGATAACTTGTTCTTGAACGGCTAATCGAATGTAGTTTTTCACTGTCTTACTATTGTCTTGTAGTAGTGCATCAATAGAATCTTCAGTACGTTTGATCAATGCGGCTTGATGAGCGATTTGTGGTTTTAATTCTTCAAATAAATGTAAAATATTTGCGACTAAATCATCAATAAGTTCTGGCAATACTTTTTCGTACTCATCAAAAAAATGGCAACCCCATTCTATGGCTTCATCATGTAGGGCAGCCCACTGTTTTGGTAGACGATCTGCTGTTGAAACAGTCAAATCGAAATAATCATCTACTGTAGCAAGCATGTCTCGCATTAATGCGAGGGTTGGCGCAGAATAGGCTTCGACGGCAAATGCAACTATACGTCGAAAGCTGGTTGTATTTATCACATTTGTATATGTTTCCCATGGATCGAAATTACCTGGAACCGTGCAAATATCAAAACATGTACATTCATCAACTGAATCGGGCAAACGACCAAGTGCTTCATTGGCCATTTCACATCGTCGAAGAAGGAGTTCATAGCAATGTTGTCGTTTTTCACGTAGCGTATTAGAGAAGAGATCGACTGATACATTTTCGGGATCATCATCAAGAAAATAATCATTAGCAATCGATATGCAATCGGCTTTAGTATTCAAGAAAAATACCGACACGCGTTCCATGGAGCCTAAAGTATCTTTCATGGCTAGAAAACAGTTCTTGTCAGTGTCACTGATGGTAGCATTATCATAAAGAAAGACAAGAGTTGGCGTAATACGTTTCACAAGTTTATGTAAATTCTCAGTTAACACTTGTTCACGATTGTCTGAAAGAAAACCAGGTGTATCATAGATATCAATACCCAACGAAAGGACACTAGATGGTAATGAAAGTTCAACAAAGCATTTGGCCCATTCATTGAATTCGACCGAGTTCTCATCAATATTAATAGGCCGCTTAACATGAGGTTGTATAACCTTGGTGATACCTTCCCAATTCGGTTGTAGCTGATTTTCAAAGAAATGTGATAAATTGCCTTCGGCTTGAACCGATGTCTTTTCAATAGTTTCATAAACATGAAAACATGCTCGATCAGCTGATGCATATGTGAATTGAACGATACGTGCTGTTACAGGTCCGATACCCGACGGTAAGATATTGCCTATACCAAGAAAACGCTGAATGAACGACGTTTTACCACTTGAATTGGGACCAAATATGACGAGACTAGGTCGTTTCGCAACAGCATGCTCCTCTAAAATGGCATCAGATACCTGCTGAAAATGATCGTCGATACTGACATCGTCATCAAAACAGTAGTCAATAGCCATTGTTGATAGTGAACCTTGAGAATTATTATTAACCTAAACAGACCAGATACTATTCATTTCCACAAGATCATATATCATGTGAGTTTCAAATTGTTGTCAATATAGCAAGAAAAAAAACATAGATATTTTTGCTAACGATGCCGTTAGTACGACAAAATGACTTTTATGTGAGGAGTATCTTGAAAATAGCTGGCATAGCTAGAAACAATTCTTTGGTCAATCGTTATGTCAACAAAAATATTAAAAAAAACATAAAAATCGCTTCTTCTGCAAAGGTTTGAACAATATACAGTAGAAGATTTCACGACTAGGGTTAGTTCTTTATCTTTACTTTACCGGAAAAAATAAAGTTACGTACTTCACTTTACTTTTTGCAAAGTGAAATAAAGATAAAGTGTCACTCCTAATCACGCCAGTTCCATTTGTTTCTTCGTATAAAAATTTTTCTTCTGTCTGGAAGTGAGATGTATCTCAAGAAATAAGGTACTGCGATATTGATCAGAAGTTTTTAAGCAACCTGAAATTCATCATACGCAATCGTTGATCAACAAATTTCTATCTATGCTACATACTTCTTGACTTTTCAAATTAATTCTACAACGTTTTAGAAAGTTGAAACTTACTTCATATATTACAGAAAATGAACAAACATACTTACATGTTTAGATTTTATAGTTTGTAAATTTTCTAGTAATTTCGTGCGTAAATGTTTGAATTCTGTTGCTGTACGGCAAACGCTTGTCTTGAGTCGATGAGCACAGGCCAGTGATGTTATAATATGTTCATCATTATTTACAGCCATCTAAAAGTAGAACAAAAAAGAAATATGAACTCACAACATGTCCAACATAAACTTCAATTTTTGCTGAACAAATTTAGCCGTCACAGGTCTCTCATGACTGGCCTCAGAACATTTTAACATTAACTCATTAAACTCATTAACGACTGCTGGGGCATTCTCATCGTGCATAATGTGAGAACGTAGAATTTGTCCGACTACACCGAATCCTTTTATATCATCATTCGTCCCGTTGACAGTCGATGCTGGATTATGACGGATACTAAGATCACAATCGTCGTACCAATCGCCCAAATCAATTAGTAGAGTGCGTTTATCTTCAGTGAGGACAATGTTACTTAATATAACATTTCGATGAACAAGTTCACTCTCGTGTAAAATTATAAGTGCATCAGCAATATCATTCATCCATCTGAGAACCATTGCGATCGATAGTGATGCTGGGAACTGTTGTAAAAACTGTTCCAAACTAGACATCAATGGCGGGAAGATCATCCATAATTCAGAAGTTTGATTATCGAGACGATACTTGTATAGATAATGAAGATTAACTATATTTGGATGACGTAAATTAGCTACTTTGCGATGATAATGTGCTTCGTAATAAGCTACCATTGATTGATCACGTAAAGATCGACTAAGTCTTTTCACAATTAAATTTTTTTCATTGCCCCAGTCGGCTGTAAATATACTGAACACAGTCGATTTTGAATCACCACTACGAATTTCAGGTATGCTACCGTTAAATTTCGCCATATCTCGAGCTGCACAAAGTTCACATTCGATGACAATAATATGGCAAATATATTGTTCTAAACCTTTGAACGTTGCTTCATGAAAATTAAGTTGAGGGTACGCTGTATTATAGTGAGCTTCAATAAGTGATCTTAAAATAGCTTGTTGCTGATCTCCCCATAGTCTTACTGCTTGATACATTGTATTTTGTTGGTTTTTGATTATCTTTTGCATATTCAATAAATATTCATGAACAATACTATCTACTTGTCGGTTGTAATCGCCATTTTTGTTTCTATACGATTCTCTTGTGTATAATAAAAGTAGCTCACTAACTGTTGTATTCGAAAAATCCAAATTTGTGAGATTTAAAGTGCATTGTATTATCGGTGTTGAAATTGTGTTCACCATATATAATATACCAGCACTAACATTAGTGTTGTTTGAATAATTATCGAGTAAGAGAGCCGCGAAATCGCTTATTTCTTGCCTACCTAATGCTCTGATCAAAATTTCATTAAAGGCTACACCTCGTGTTAGATCACAGTCTGATGCGATGTGCTCAAATAAATATCCCATAAATTTTCGAATAGTATTACGAATGGCTGGTTTAATAACTTGAAGATGTACGGCTGTTCGTATTGTACTTTCGAAGAAATTTGCGTCTCGAGACCCATTTAACAATACCTGTACAATTGATTGTTCTTCTATAACGAATTGTTGCATAATATTCGAAAATAAATCCTTTAGACATCGTTCTGTATTCATTGTGTATAATTGAAAATATGTTTTTTCCCAATTCATAGCATCATATTGCAATTGTAATAGTTGTTCCGATGTAAAATAACTTGTTGAACGTAACAGATCGAAGAATGCATCAATGATGGGTAATATAAGTTTACATGCACGTGTCGCTACGGCTAAATCATTATTGGCTACAAATTGGATAATATGCTGAATAGTAATTTCATTAATTAGTGGACCATAAGGTTTAATCGATTGTGAATTGACACTACACAAGTCAAAACAATGGCATTCATCAGCTGATGTAGGTAAACCTTCTAATCTATCATTGACTAGAAAAGGAGCACGTAACAATAAATTATAACGTTGAACTCGTTCATCTGCTACTATAGTAAGAAATTCTTCTTTGCTCATAGCTTGTTTGAATTTTGGCATTAGATTTATATCTGCTTTTGAGTTCAGAAAAAATACATTAGTAGTATCTAAATCATACAAGGCAGTTTTCATTGCTAGAAAGCAACCTTTTGTGCCATCGTCAGTGGATGGATTACTGTACATAAAGACAATTGTAGGATGAATTAATTCAACCAGATCACGTAAAATTTCTTTAAGAACTGGAGCATCATCTAAAAGAAAACCAGGTGTATCATACACATCAATTCCCAAAGCAAGTGTTGATGATGGAATATGAATTTCTACAAAACATCGTGCCCATTCTGCAAATTCTGGTGACGCTGCATCCATGCCTTCTGGTCGTTTAACATGTTTTGAAAGAGCACGCCCAATATGCATCCAATTTGGTTTTTCACTAGCAAAAAAAGACGAAAGATTAACTTCATCTTCGATCAGTGTCTGATCTCGAAGCGTTTTATGAATGCGAATACATGCTTGTTCATTCGAAGCATATGTAAGTTTCGTAATTCGTGCTGTAACAGGACCATCACCAGATGGTAGCATTTTACCGATGCCTAAAAAAGTATGTAAAAATGCTGTTTTACCACTTGAATTTTCACCACAAAGCACCAATTGGACTTTATTAGAACTAATACACGAATTTAATGGTTCAATACGTGGTTCGTTAATCAAGGGTGATAGAATATCTTTGAATGCTGTCAAATCTTGAATACCCGTATTAGTAAGAAGCTCTTCACGTAACTTGAGAAAATTATTGACATTACTTTGTAAAAGACTACGAATGTTATGATTAAAATGAATGATAGTTTGTAGCTTTTGTTCGTGACTGTATTCTGAAGTGTTTTTTGCCATTTTTACTCTAAATTGAGCAAAAATCATACATTTTTTCTATAACAAATAAAAAGTTTACATTCAGTCTAATAGATCATCTTATCTCTTCAACAGATTTCCTAAAGGTATTTAAGCAGTTTGTAAACCAATATATTTAGAAAAGTACGGTTTTAAGTAATGATAAACTACTTACAGCCATTGCCATAATTATTCGATAAGATTAATTTTCATCTGCTTTCCACTATCGTAAAAGCTAATAAGCACCAAAATAATGATTTATGTAGAGACTTTTTAGTTTTAAAAAAAATTTTTTTTTGAAAATGAAAATGATTGTTAGTTTTCCTTAATATCAGATCGCTGACAATCTTATAGCTACGTTTCTCATTTCCTAGAATTGACAAGTAGAATTGAGCTTGGTTTACTTAGAATTATTAAGCAAACAACTCCGTACATAATGAAATGTCTTTCAGTTCTGCCCGACTTCTTTTGACGAAGATAAATTAATCTTGCGCAACGCAAAAAGATGATGTTCCTATACGAAATAGTAAAAACAACAAACTCTTGTGCCTTTCATAATATTGATGTATTTGGTTCAAATAGGATCGTAAAGAGAGTTGAAAGACATTTTTTTTTCGTAGAGAATCGTTAGTTCTATCATTCTGAACAATTCAAATTGAATTCTATTTTCAAATTCTTCGAGCTAAGTAATTTAGATTTAGATTTTTCAGAGATGTTATTCTTAGAAAACCAGCAATGATTGTCATCCTTAACAATTTTACGTGATATCATACTGGAATTTTTTTTGACATTTACAGCAGTCGAAAGAAATTAAAAATAAAACTTGTCAAATTATTTTGCACGTCATTGTATTTGAATCTAGTGGAATCTTAAATGTTATGATATTTTGATAAAATTTGTTTTAAAATGTTTTAAGTAATTCTGCTATATAGTAGAAAATGTTTTATTGAATAGTAAAATAGATAGATAGGTCTTATCGTAAAAAGAAAAAGAAAAATCCTTCAATCATTCTTAGACAAATCAGTCTGAAAAGGTTAATATATCTCGGGAATTTAAAAACTTTGTACAAAAAAAAAATATGCGTTATGCAAATATTCTAACACGATGATTTATCGGACGTTAGATTCTATATTGTGTGAAGTAACATGAAAAAATTTTCATACTTCACGGAATGAAGCGAAATGAGGACGAAAGAGGTGGTTTGATCTCTTAGATTTATGAACTTCACAAGATACTATCTTTAAAAGAAAATCTGTGACTTCTATTAAGTATACACGTCTAGGAATAAATATAGGCTAAAAATGCAACTTTTTTCATCGCAGTTTTTAGGCGAGGATTGATTGTATTGAAAGATACGGAACCCTGTTAATGATAGTCTATTACTCATCTCACGATACGTCTTTCTTTTCTCAGCTTCTGAAATGTCTGACAGTAATCGATAGATAATCGTCAAATAGATTCTGCTGCATAGAATTACAGCTGTAACAATTACTGATTTATGAATAGAGACAATCAACAAATCGAAACACAATGAAGTATCTCATCTGTGAACAATTTTATTTATATGAAACACGTTAGTAAAGTTCAAATCATAACGAAAAGTCAAAATTATCATTTACGATGGCATATATTATATTCAACAAGTCTGTTTAAAAATCTACAAAATATCTAATTTAATTGTTTACTTGAAACCTTCTAAATTTATGAAAGAAAAGTTGTTTCATTAAAATCACATATATAAGAACAAACGAATAGTATTTTTATTCTATTCACATAAAATAAACTATTGAATTCTTTGTTTATTTCTCAAGTTGAATCAAATCTTAATTCAATAAACATATCTAGTGCTTGGCCTACATTTAAGCACGGTATGAAAAACAGTAATGTCAAGAATACATTAAGAGCTTACCCATCCACAATCCATGACTCAGTACGGAAGAAAACAATACAGTCATATGGATGGCAATATCTAGAACTCATCGGGATGACCAGAAACTCGGACCTGACCAGGACGCGTCCGATTCAATATATCATACTCTAAAAGTTGTATCCAACCGTTGCTTGGTAATTGTAAGATCAATGTCAAGATTGTCTGAGAAATGTGTGAGATATTTTAGTTTCAGAATACAAACTATCAATAAAAAGTATGTCGCGCCTTCCGAACAACTGTAAGAGTCATACTAGAAAATTTTATTGAACTCAGAAGTGTGGTTCGAGTCACGATGCAAAAATTTCGGAACCAACGGACTCTATTGTTGTCTCAATTCCAACAAAAAATAATAGCGTAAGAAAATAATACCAATATTGATCTGTACTTACTATTCAAAGATAATAAGGTGTCATTGAATATAAGCATTCAATAAAGAATCAAGTTCCATATTCAAAACAATTTTTACAAGAGTCAACATAATTCATGAAATTTGAGAAAATAGTACTCTCCTAATTCATAAATAATCTCAAGGTCGCAGCACTTCCCTTTTATTTTCACTGGTGATTCACAATAAAAATGACGTCATAAGACAAACAATCAAATTCTATATTCAGGAAATATAAAATATGCTGCTAACCTGACTGATGATTTTTGTATTGATGAATCGATTGAATGATGATTCCTTTTCTCTCGGCTTTTATTTGGTTTTTTTTTCTTCGCTTGATTTCTAAAGAAACAACTAACCAAAAGACGGCGTTGCTTTACTTTATTTTTCGCTGAAAGCAATAATAAAAATAAAAGCGTTTATCGTTGTTACGTTCTTTGTAGAGTAGACAAGATTAATAAATATTATCAATTGACGTTGAAATTTCTTCCAATAATAATCCGTTATTCAATCACAATCGCATGCATTCATATCTTTAAATATGACTGATGAATATACAATGAAACCTACTGCTGATCTAATTTTTTTACACAATACTCCTATAAAACATTTGTAGTAGATAGGATTTAGACAAGAGAAGAGTGACATCTTTCGTATGCATTAGCTCAATTGATAAATTTCTTATTTTTATTATCCTTTATGAGAGAAATCTATACATTGTACATAGGGTACTACAAAAGTTTTTCCACCCGGTTCTTCGAAAAACCTCAGTTTGAATTCAACTATTCTGTTATAATGCTTAGACATATTTAGAATTATGTGCAAAGTTTCAAATTTCTAAGTCTTGTACTCTGCTGTAGTTCGCCATTTCTTTTATGCTAGGTGCACGCAACCTGCTAACGGATAATCCATCATAAATAGAAGAACTTTGCATTTCAGTTTTTGATTTCTAAATACGGTTTATTAAAAAAAACGAAATATACCAGACGATGCAGCACGAAAAGCTCTATAATTTACATAGGACAACTAATTTTAACGTTACATTTTCTATGTTAAAAGATTGACAAACTTCGAAGCAATCAAATTTCAACGCTACGAGAACAATATTTTTTTGATAAAAGACGAATTCATTTTATTCTTATTTCATCTTTGCTTTACCTGATATCTTCTATTAAACAAAAAACAAAACATACCACAAGATGCAGCGTGAAAAGCTCTACAATAAGACAGGGTGTGGGTGTGGGTGTGGGTGTGGGTGGGTGTGAGTGTAGGTGTGGGTGTACTATTCATTAACACCCGCACCCACACCCACACCCACACGCACACCCCACACCCACACCCACACCCGCACCCACACACCCACACCCACCCACGCACCCACACACCCACACCCACACCCACACCTCCTCGTACGTTATTCTTTTCAAATGTTAAAACACTTTCAAATGAGATATTGCAAGACCACAGAAACATGACTGGAAGTTATGATCTAAATTGCTTCTAAAAGCTTGGACTCTATAACATTTGCGTAAAATCTTGCTCTAAAAGTGACGACCTGCCATCTGAAAAAGGAATTCATGCTTTTCAAAGTGCACTGGCTTTTCCAGATTCAAAATTCTGTTTTGTATTCAAAATTTTAAAAGTAATGAGAATGATGACTAGCTAAAACTGAAAACACTTACAAAATTTCATTAACATGCACTATTTTAAAATAATAATTGCACAACTTTTAACCCTTTCAGTACTGGCTTATTTTGAGCAACAATTTACAAATTTTTCAACTTTTCAAAAATGATTTATTTTTGTCAGATTTATCAAAATACGAACATTAGAAAGCTTTCAAAATATGGTATTCTTTGAAACAATTGGGATTACACAGTGAAACATCACAATCTGGGTAATAAAACCTTTTATCGCTCCGTTTTTGTTCTCGCTTGTTTGTATGACTGCAGACGAAACAGCGTTTTTTGATATTATTACCGGGGATAGAAGCGATGAAATGACGAGCAGTGAGGCGTAGTGGACAATCGGTTGATGGTCTGCCTTTCATTTGTGACCGCTTTGATCTGTATTCTTCAATGAGCTCTCGAGCTAGTTGCAGACGAAACTCTAAAAGTTCGGGATTTTTCTCGTTTTTCATCTTGTACATGGCATAAGAGTTCTGCACAGTGATATCAAATAAATGGAAAAACAACTTCTTGTACCACTTTATTGTTTTTCGTAGACATTCCGAGAAATTGTTTTGCATGTCTAATTGATCCATTACTGCCATATTTTTGACAATAAGAGAAAAGAAGGTGAATGTAAGTTCATTCATATAATCATATAGATAATGAGGAAAAATCCTTATGATCGCATCTGAAGAAGAAGCAGGGCATAACACGAACGTGCAAAAATAGCAGTCGCAATGTTTACTTGGAAGAGACGCGAAAAAAATTCCTATTCTCACCCGTCAGATCACGTAAAATTTCAATGACGTTTTAAAACGTCACCGGTCCCGAAAGGGTTAATACTCTTTCTTATGAAATAGCTCGAAGTTGAAAATAAAACAAAGTTTTACTAATAGTTATTAATTATTACTAACTAACAATTATTTAATACTTTGATATTAGAATAAATGCAGACCATAAAATTTGACACTAAACAGCGTATAAAACTGATTGCAGTTATAGTTCGTTATCGAGAAAATTGGGAAAACAGTAAAATTGTGCTAAGTTTTTTCTCTGGTGGTGAAAATGTTTCTATGTAATAAACCTAAAATACCTATACTCTAAAAATTGTTTGCATCTCAGTTTTGTACGCTGCTCTGAGAACTATCAAAATTACGAATTGGATCTTTTCAATAATTTATCTTTAAAGAAGAATCTAGAAAATAAAAAGTATGCTAAACTTTTTACTCCACTTCAATACACAAGCTAACAAGTCTATTAGAGTATTATATTTAGATGGAATCACATCGTACTTTTTTTGGAACCGAACCAGTCCCATCTTCGTGAGGGTGAACAAGCGATCAGGAACTACTAACGATTACCAAGGACAACCAGAGATAAAGGAATACCAGGGTGTGAGTGCCGCTGTGAAGAGAAGATGCACACTCACACCCAAACTAACGCCAAGAACCAAGTCCACACTCATACCAAAGTCCCACAGCCACACCCAACCACCGACATTCTCACAGGCGCATATGTCTCTCCATCTGTCAGTATAATCAAGTTCTCTTCAGTCACAATGGATTGCTTTGGTCGAAAGAAAAATATTATGACTTCTGTTTTTATGTGCACTTGTATCAGTCAAATTCAGCAATAACCTCTGCAGCATGTCACTCAAAAAGCACGCGGTAGGTAGTAAGAGAACGAGAAAAAAAGCAGCTTTCGTTCTTGCTTGCAGAGCAACGCTTTTATTTTTCATCAAAAACGAAAGATTTTCGTGTGCAGTAATGCATTGTCGTATCTAATAGCTTTACAATTTTCTTTCTAGTACAAGAATTATTAATTTGGGGATATATGACGATACAATCTTGTTTAATTTATTTAAATTTTATTGGAAAAATTTAATAATCGTACAAGACAACACATGGACTCATTCGACAGTTTAGAACGTTTCCAATACAATGTGGATTTATTGAAGAGACAAAAACTCTATGATTTGTCCAATAAATCATTATACTCTGCTGAATGGATATCAAGAAGAGATATTCCAATTATCATTGTTGAAATGGCAAAGGAAATTACTGACTATGAGGTTTGGTTCTATATTAATCTCAATTCTCACAAGCACATCATCCGCACGATTGGCTGTGTTGAAAATGAGCCAAATTTAACGGTATTAGTACAAGAATTTGCACGTGACGGCGACCTAGGCAATTTACTTTTGGACAATGTATTTAGACCTTCGCAAAAAGTACTCATCGAAATATTCTTACAAATAGCTGATGGAATGGCTTATATTGCACAAAATCGTGTTGTACATGGTGATTTGGGCTGTCGAAACATTCTCGTCTTCGAAAAAGACCCCAATGAACCGAAAAAAAATAAAGTTAAAATTACTGATTTCGGACTAGCACGCCGATTAGATTCAACTGGTGATGATTATAACACAACAATCATACCGATCCGTTTTTGTGCACCTGAGATTCTACAAAATAATATTCAATCAAATTATTCAGAACAATCTGATGTCTATTCAATGGGTGTTCTAATGTGGGAAGCTTTGTCTCATGGTATGATGCCTTATGCATCTATTGCCAATGAAAATAATGTTATTGAGGAAAAATTGAATAATAGAAGATTGACAAAACCAACGGAATGTAATTCAAAGTTGTGGAATATAATTGAAGATTGTTGGCACATGAATCCAAAACAACGATGCACTTTTCAAAAGATAAAAAATCAGCTATCCAATTTTGAAGAGAATAGCATTCAGATAGGTGATATTCGACTTGTTGCGCCAACTTTCAGGTAAAAGATGTTGATTTTACAACCTTAAAATAATATCATCAATAGAAGATATTTTCTATACTATGCAAATCTAGTGTTTCTTCGATTTCTTTTCATTTTCGAGGGATATTGATTATTCAGAAATGAAGTTGAAAATATTTTCTACATCTGTTCATTTTGTAAATCATAGAAAACTACAAATAGCTTTTACAATTAATTTTCAGAATGTGTACTTAGTTCTACAGTCGCGACCTTTCTCTTTCTATGAAATTGAAATTAGCCAATCTACTGTACTTTACTGTAATGATGTTTGAAATTGTTGACGTTGAATTTGTATTAACAACTTCGCATATATCGAAAATTCTGCTACTCAGATACATAGATCGAAAGGTTCAACATTACGCAAGGAGATGAATCTTTAAAAAAAAGTTCATGTATATAATTATAACATTCAGAAGATTTGCTGTCTTCTTGACGTAGAGAATCGAAATGGTTTTATTATTAAGGGACATATATCCGCTACATCAATACCGATCTCGGTCGCCTGAGTTATATATAGAGCTTCGAATTTTCTTCCGTTTAGTGTAAAAAGCTTGAATTAACATTTAGTGCAATCTATTATGAGTCTTGCTAAAGAAATATCATTGAAAAAGATTATTAAAATATTAACTTTTGTAACATTTGCAAATATTCGAAGCAAAAGAAAATATTAGTCACAGTGCGGGTCGGACAGATAAGTCGATTTATGTTTTTAGCACACGAATTTTTGAAACATTGCGTTGAAAAAAAAAGTTATTGGTTTCTCAGGACTCAGCTTTTGAATCCCTTCCCTATTCTAGAAGACACTGCATTGCTTCATTGCACTGCGTCATTTGATAATATGCGAGCCACTCCTTGTATTATTGAGGAAAGGGTAAAAGTAGAATTAACTGGTTTTGTTGGAGTAGCTCTAACGAATGAAAACCATATACAAGTATCCATACTTCTATAATACAATACAGTGTGTCTGCTTATCCATCTGTTCTAGATCAAAGTTCAGTATTATAATTATTTTTTCTTACAAGAGGAAAAAGTGCTACTCCTGTTCAAATCTACTTCAGCCTTATTCTTCATCATATATTTTCTAACTAATAAAACACTTCATCGTTTAATATCAGTCAATAGAAGTTTTCATCCATTTTATTTCAACTATACTTCAAGCTACTTGAAAATTTTCAAGTCACACTTTTCCCGCTTGTACAATTCGAAAAATCTGCTTTAAAAAATATTATTAATTGAAAATCTATGATGACAAATCTTATTGTGCAAATAAGGTTCGATTTTGGTTTTACGTATTTTGAAAAATTTGAAGGCACTTCAAAGTAGCTGAAACAGGGCATTCTTCCCTTTGCTTTCGAGTCAAATATGGCAAGACGACATTCTATCTTGGACAAGGAACCATTATCTGCTCAATATTCGAGAATAGATATGTCAAATTGCCATTAATTAGATAAACGATTAGTTTACTAGGGCGGAACCCGAAGCAAAGCGAGTTAATGGGGAATTTGATTTTGCGGCAAATTCGAAATAATCGAAAAATTTCTATCAAAATTCAACGATATAGATGTTCTGGACAAGCGAAATATGTGACTTAAAGATCCAATCATATAACTGGATCCCACTATATTTGTATAGCGGTATCAACCAGTGATATAGTCGTATAGCGTTGTAAGCGGCATAGCGGTATAGAGGTATAGTGGTATAGAGGTATAGAGGTATAGTGGAATAGAGGAATAGAGGTATAGATGTATAGTGGTATAGAGGTATAGTGCTATAGAGGTATAGAGGTATAGTGCTATAGAGGTATAGAGGTATAGTGGTATAGAG